GGAATGATCGGTTATCTTCAGCAACGTGCACAGCAAAGCATGCCTACTATTATTTTTCCTATAGCATGTAATATTCAAGCTATCAAGAGGCACGGTTTCTTCTCAATGTCCCAATTAATAATTCATTGTTCTGAGCTTGTGTTCGATAAATTATGTTTCCTTTCCCCCTAAATAATAGTTAGATGGAAAAACAGGTCTAGGGCTAAAATAGATCATATAATAATAATTTTAGTAGAAAAAACGCATTCTATTACATTTCAGTTTTGCTTGCCTCTGTCAGGTTTTAAGTGCTCTTCTTGTGGCAATGAAGAGGCTATTCTTTCTTTCTAGGTTGGAGTAACAATGGAGTAAAGAAAAAATGTCAGTGTTGCTTGGTTGCATTCTGTCGCTTGGGAATCAATGCTCCACGTGGCTCAGACTGCACTGGATTCCAAAGGGATTTCTCAATAATTTTTAGTGATATATGCTCAGATGGAAATCATAGTTGTCACACCTTACTTATCGTATAAGTGCTGTTCCCAATTCAGTATACTGACAATTTTTTAAAAAATTACAAATGTCTGTATTGGTTCAATATTAGTTTTTAACATAAGCTTCATTATTGTTTGTCAGGCTTCGGAGATGAAAGTTTTAATGATGCATATTTCCACTGAAAATTCAGGGCTAATTTTTACTCTGCAGCATATGACTTTGGCAGTTTGTGGAAGCTATTTTACATTACAACACATTTTGCATTTTAAAATCTTTGAATTGATGTAACTGTAATGGTACTAGCAAATACACTTAACAAAGTCAGTCTAAACATTTGGGCCAGCAGAAGAATAGCAATATTCTAGGACACTATTCCAAATATTCCAAATAAAAATATTAGAAAGAATACATTCATCTTTGCATGTATCTCAGTTTTTAACTCTGTAACAAGGGGGCTAGTATTTATTTATTTGGCTTATATGCCTCTCCATTTCTCGAAGCAATTTATAATTAAAAGCATAACATTAAAACATAGAAAATCAATAGCATAACTGTAACAGCAAGAAGGCTCTGATGAGTTCGCCATTCAGGCAATAAAATCTCTAGGTGTCCTCAAATGCCTTCTTGTAAAGTCACATTTTTTGCAGCTCTTTGGTTATATTATATTACCAAATATAGTAAGAGGGAGTGGTCCAAATTCCAGAGGTGGAGGACCATCATTGAGAAGGCTCAAGCAAGGGTCCCTGCAAATGACATCCCTTCAGATTTGCAACCCTGAGCAAGATGGATAGTTTCAACACAGAAAAGATGGTTTGGGTGATATCCAGTCACTAAGCTTTGTACACAACAACCCAGAGTTCTCACTCAGGGCACAAATGACCAGGCTTAAATTATCCTACTTCAGACACATTACGTGAAGACCTAGCTCTCCAGGGAAGACTCTAATGCTGGGGAGGGTGGAAGAAAAGAGAAGAGGATGACCAGCAGCAAGGTGGATGTACTCAGTTACAGCAATGATGAGTGCACTATTGGAAGACCTGAAAGACCAGGTTAGGGACAGATCACCATGGAGAAAATTTATGTGGGTGCTAAGAGTTGACATAATGAATCAACCAAAGCTATGTAAGGCTTTAAAAGTGATAACCAGCACCTTGAATTTTACCAAAACTGACTAGCAGCTGATGCAGCATGTACATGCTGCTGGTTTCTGTGGAGCCTGTTTATAACTGAATGGGGTTGACTTTGCAGTAAGGTGTTCCACAGGCAGGAATCAATCCCTCTGCCAAAACTTTTGTTTTCACTCAGACTTTTGTAATCACCAATTGAGAAGCAATGCAAAGAGCGAATGTGCAGTAGTCATTTATTTATTTCATTTATTTATTCCATTTCTATCCTGCTGCATTCCAAGCAACTCTCAGCAGTTTACATGATACAGAAACATTAAAACATTCCCAGTAAGTCTTAAAATACAATATCACAATTTAAAACAAACCCTGAAGTCCAAGTTAATCAAGAATAACAGTCAGGAATAACAGTAAATTGAAAATTCAAATAAAAGATGGTTAAAACTAATTTGTGCAACTAGCTTGGTGCTTTAGAGCAGAATAGCTGAAACTGACTTGTATGTTTGAAACTGGTAAATGCAGGGAAACTGGCAAATGAGCAACAAAAGGTTAGATTATCGTTCTCCATTTTCTGGACACTGCACATGAAAAAATGGGGCTGTTGCATCTAAAGATAAATATCCTCACAGATGCCATTTCAAAATATAGTAAATACAGATTTATGCAAATGCACCCTTTTTTCTTTCCCAAATGAAATACTGGTGGTCTGCTTTCTGCTTCTCTATCTTGTTGAAAGCCTGAGAATAAGTTAATTTCAAAAATAGGAAGCAGGGCCTGGGTGACCTTGGGGGAAAGTGACAAGTATGAAAGGAACTCAGGAAAACCAAGTATTAATGGAGAGGGCAAATGTAGGAGAGAAGCCAAGACTACCTAGTGACCAGAAGAATGCCCATGCGTGCTTCCCAACTCTGCTCACATCCATAATAGGTCAACTGGTCTTGCCTCCAAGATAATGGGTTGACAAAGGCTTACAAACGTTGCTTACCTTCAAGCTGGGAGAGGAGTAGTATTGGTTTCAGGGAAAAATAATCCTTAGTCCAGTACCCTTAGTATTGACTTAAGGCTGTTTCACTCTTGAGCTAAGGATTGGATGAGGGCAACATAGTGCAATGAAGGGGAATGTTGGGAGTGTCAGAGCAAGTAGAGATAGGACCACAGAACAGCACATATGGGGAAAGGAAATTGTCTTTATAGAGTGGCCCTCAACCCAAAGCAGTTACTGATCTCTAATTTAAGGGGAAAAGTACTTTGCTTCCATCAGAAGCACAGCCATAATGCAATACAGTTAAAAATGGTACTCTTTTAGCCTTTGAAAACAATATATTTTCTCTAGGGAGTTCTTAGCAAATTCTTAAATAATAACTTTCTCTTTTTTCACAAGATGTCTTAACAATTTTGCTTTTGAGGTTTTTATGTATTGTGTAAACTTATATATCTAATTCTAAGGAACTGTGGAAGACCATAAGCTTCCTGGGCAACATCAAATTCTACTAAGAATTCAGGTCAGGAACTCCTTCCTTGTTTCCTAGCAACTTAGGATAGTGGGCCTTTTTCTATTTGAATGAAATCATTCAGCAACAGAGACCAGGATCATTTGCGTGGCCTAAGGCAATATTTTGCATACACTTGGGAAGAAGCTCTGTAGCATAACACATTGCCTGCCTGTTTATAAGAAGAGGGCTCTGCCTTTTAAGTCCGATGGAACCAACATTACTTCATCCTCCTTTAATGTGAAGAATAGGATTAGAATTCTGCTTTTATTACTGCTCTTTCGGTTGTCAAGGTGAGGCATTTATCTTCAAACCATGTACTTTCCTAGTTACTGAATTTGTAAATCAAAACTATATTCAGATAAGGACTTCCACTTCCTATTGATCTAACTGAAGCAAACATTTCCAGAGATTTCCTGGTTACTTATGCAAACAACATAGAGTAGGACAAGCATTTTTTCACTGTACTTAATTTCATTTGGAGTACTGCCAAATTTTGCTTATTGCTTCCATTTTTATAGTGCAGGAAACACCCTTTGCTCTTTTCTGATTAATCTGTTACAGAATTTATTTAATTAAAAAAATACTTTGTTGGAGTGATAGTACAGTATATGCATATACCCTCGAAGAGAATTGTTACATTGTTGATTGTGGTAATATTGTAAGTAATCTGTAAATGATCTGCATAAATTTCTAATGTTTTAACATTTGAGTTCTCTGAAATTATTGCTTTTCAATTTCATTTTGCTTTTTTAATTTATAATTACGCAAAGCAGGCTATGAACCTTAAACTTTTAAAACTTTTTTGTGTTGACTACTTTTTGTTTATTATCAACATTTTGTGAATTACATATTGGAACCTTTAAATGAATGAGTGTTTATTCAGATAATGAAATCAAATCATACTTTGGCTAGATCCCCAGATCACATTAAACTGTGATTTGGTTTGTTTAGTTTTGGCTTAGCACGATATTGAACCCAGGCCTCATGGCTTGTAAGTTATGGATGGTTTAAATTGATGTTTGTCAGATTTCCTGGCAAAACTTAAGCAGAAATTCTGGGATACTGGACAGAGCCTGGCTCAGCTTGGCTGATGGGTTGAACACAGCTAGAGTCTCTTGGAGATACAAAACATATGGCTAGATAAAAAACTTTATTGCATAGGAGAATGAAGTCATACAAAGGAGTTGATTCACCTCTGTTGCTTTTTCTTCCTGCCACCCTTCAACAAATTGTTTGCTTATGGCCTTGAAACTGAGCAGTTGTTGATCATTTATATAACTGACTTATCTGCTGTTGGAAACACGGGCTATTGTTTTGGCTCTTACCATGTGAACCAGGCCACTGGGAGGCTACCAGATCTGGGCTACAAAAGTCCAGATGACTGTGAGAATTTTATGTATATCTTTGCTGCTATCTAGATTTTAGTTTACCAAATTGGGTAGCCCTATTCTACAGTGATTTCTTTAAAATGTAATTAAAACAAATAATAGACATGATGCATGAAACCAGCCTCTGTTTTAGCCTTCACAAACAGTCTCGGAGGAAAAAATACTTTGTAATATAAAGTTCTATGAATTATGAAATTATATTTCTGCATGAGATGTGCTCTGTCAAATTAAAACATTTATCTTTACCACTGTGGGAAAATTGAAGCTGTATATTTTTATTGTCGAATACTATTTTTTTAAAAAAAAATCCTGAAAAGAGAATAGGTGCTGGGTCTGTGGGAAAGGAATCTTGCTAGCATTTGTAAATTTTATTTTAAATTAGTATATGAGGGTAGTTTTGGTGTGAAGATTGGAGAATGCTCAACCTCTGAAAGTATTTAAGCAATATAACCTTTTTTTCAAAGAAAGAAGAAAATGGTAACATGCATTGGGTTGATTTTTATATTTGCTTATCAACAGGGAATTCAAGGGTACCATAGAACAGATGACCATGGCATCTCTCTTTTCCTGTGGATTGCTTTCATGGACTCCAATTCAGTGTGGTTCCCTGATCACAAATAAGTGATCTTCAAATAATCAATTTTGCAAGACTAAAACCCTTTTCCTAAAACCCTTTTATTGCAGAAACTGTGCTAGATCACTCAAGGTAAGAAATACCTTCTTGTTATTACTTCTTGGAATATAAATACGATGTTTAGGCAATTCCTTTTTCTTTTCTCTTAATCCTGATAAACCAATGTGGATGGATTATAGGTAGTTTCTTTACCACTACTACTGAAACCAGCCTAAAATATCCCTGCAAACTAATAGCAGTAACAATATTTCTAAATTAACAGAGTTGTAAGGATCTACACTGTCAGCTCTCACTCTCCTTTTCACATCTGAACAGTAGTTTAGCTACTGGCAGTTATATGGCCAATGCAATAACATGAGAGAAGATATTATGTCTACCCAGACTGCAACACAGTAATTACTACAAAAATGAATCTAGTTATCAGAACATACACTGCCATTTTAGTTAATTAAATGAATTATTGATACTCTCGCCTGAAATATCTAAGCTCCTAACTATGACCTAACTGGTAGAGTAGGCAAATAGATTCTCTCCCACATTCTGTATTAGATGTATCAGATTTCTTCTGAGAAGCATAATTTAAAGATCTAAAGCTGAAAAGGCTCCCTATATTTCTGCTTAGAGGATAAGCATGAATTTCAAGGTGTTTGATGAGCTAGCTCCAACTAGAACAGCCAGAGACATCCTAGAAGGAATCTGGGGTGGGATACCTACTCCTTCTTATTGCCAAATGCCTCTCTTTGGAGGGGTGGTCCTCTGGTGGGTGCATTGTGTGAGATGTAGGCAAGAAGCCAACTGTGCTACAACAGCACCCATAGTCTTTGTGATCTCCTTGCTTACAATGTTACACTGAACACCTTCTCAGAGAAGAGCATTTGGACCTTGCTGCTACAGGAAAAAAACTGGACTCTCTCAATTGTGCATGATCCTCAATTTTTATTCCCAGAGCTCCTGAGACTGAGGCACAGAGGTGGACATGGCTTTCTGGGGCAGCTGCCTACCTCCGTGCCTTTTTTGAGCCATCAGAATGAGACTGAATTGGACTGTGAATCAGGAAGCAGATGGTGGTGTGGTCCCAATCTATTGTTTGAGACTGTTGGAGAAAAATGTGTTAGAGGGAACTCAAATTGTTTAAATTCTTCCACAAGATAGAGGTTTTACTTGCATGTGTGGGGCTGCACCAAGAAAGAGAAATTAGGCTCTCTCTATTTACAAGCATTTGCTTAGGAAATTAATTCAGTGGTTGAACCTTGTTTCAGGGTCATGATGCAATAAAAATTAAACTAAATTAAATTCTTGGAACTTTGTGATGACAAGTAATTCTTGTAATGCTCATGAGTAAAGGCCTTTAAAAATAAAAATATAAACATCTAAACCTTGCCAGCTAACAAGCGTAACTTCTTAGCATCTCCTGTCCTGAAGATGTTACCTACTAATGATAACAATATGTTTGCAACTCAAAACATTAGCTCAGAGAACTCTAACAACAGAACCTGCCAATCCTGAGATACATACATTCTCTTATTATCTCTACTATTGTAGAAATAAACATGATTGACTTACAATGTGAAAAAAAAGCATTGAAAATGTGATATACTTTATACAATTGAACTGAGATATCAAGCTTGGAACACTTTGGAAGTGTTACACACACACACTTTTTACCCTGATAGCATTCTGAAGGGCCTTGGATTTGGATGGTTGGAGCCTCTTTTGGGTGTTGTTGTTGGCCAGATTCAGCATTCTTTACCTGTTTTCTTATTTGCTTTTTGTTGTTGTTGGTGAATTGTATTTTACCCTTTTGGTTATATTGTGAGCAGCCCAGAGTTGTTTGGAGTTGAGTGGCAATTAAATTAAATTCCAAAGTAAGTATTTTTGCAGCCCAAATATGATAGTCATAGTTAGATCATATTTTGGATATGCTATCTGAATTGATTGGTGCATATTGATTTTTTATTTACTTATAATAAACAAATTTAGTGAAATAAACATTGTGAAAGCAAAACATTCCATATTGGTATCTCCTCAAAATAACATGGAAAGATTACAAAACCTAGGCAATGTTTATGACTTTAAAATTTATGCTGTACCAAATTGTATTACTCAATATTTCTTAAGCTGTACCAAACAATGCATCTAATAAGTTCTTCGATCCTCTCCAATATATTTGTGTTACAACTCTCTGTCATGGTTTTTCCCTTGTAACTTATCATGGCAATTGTAATTTGATGATAATATTGAATGATATTTTTGAAATCCATTGCATTATATTTAGTCTCTGGAGGGGGAAAGGGATAATAATGTTTTTAAAAAGTTGGATATTGATAAATTATCAAAATAATAAAACTTGGACAGCAGCATATTCTCCTGAGTAAAGAGATAAAAATGGTGTGTGTGTCCATACAATCCTTTAGCCTTTGTTTGGCTATTAAAAATAACAGATGCTTGTTAGTGGACAGGAAGCCCAAATGGAATTCAGATATCACCTATCTGGTGACATATCAGCCTGGGTGCAAGGCTGGTATTTTGTCTCCATTAACCAAGAGAGGAACTGGTTGTTTGGAATTTGGAATGAGCATTTGAGCTTGTTGGAAAAGGGTGCTAACATTTCAGATGGCAGTATGTTAGTTTTTGGAAGATACTGGTGTTAGATTGATCTTCCACAGGTAGAAGAAATATTGCTGGCACTATGCATGCTTGTCTCTCATCTGCTAATCCTATATCTCTGGAAATAAAGTTTGTTTTGAAGTGTTGATTATAAAGCTCCAATAGTCACTCCTCATGAAAATGCATTGGTAGTACTGTAATCTGCTTCTGTTTCCTGAAGATGGTGCTTTTTGTTGGCTAACTTTTATTACTATCAGACACCTGGATATCATATCTCTTGAAACAAAGATGAGCCTAAATCTCATTAACATCCAATGTGCTGAAATTTCAATGGACTTAGGTGTGCCTGAATTTTTTGTGAATTATACTGTCACCTGTTTTTTTAAAGACAAGATAGAGAAATGAGAAGTTGCTTTTATTATTTCAACTTCATGCTCAGTATACATACATAATTAATTTCTTTTTAATTAATATTTTAATTAAATATTTTACAGAAAGTATTTGAACAAGAAAAAAATACATGAAAAAAGAATAAAAGCAGAATGCAAATAGGTGTGAATAAGTCAACAAGGAACCTAAAATGTCATAAAATTACAATTTTACAATGTATATTGTAAAATTATAAAATATATATCTCTTTTTGAAGAAAAAAATAAAAATCCCTATTAAGCTTTAAAATAAAGATTTCTATGTTTTCAAATTTTATACAAAATGGAGTATGGTATCTGTTAAAAGAGTTCACAGAAAGAACCACCTTTCATCTTAGATGATTACATAATACTGTTTCTGAGGAATTAAACTAGCAATAATCAATAGGAAGTATATTTCCTGTACATTATTTTTTCTTTTTTAAATTAATAACTCAGAATTTTTTAAAAAATCACAGATTGAATTGGTATAAGTGCTTTGGTTTAAAAAATACATTGTAAGTTTGGTTTACAGTTTAGGAACAGAGAAAATAGAACGCCATCTAGAATAGGATTTTAGGCAGTTCCAATGGGAGAAGATAAAAGATATGAGATTCATTTCAAGGAGACTGATAGAGCTCTATAGCACCATAAAAATGCTCTATGAATATTTTAGCATTATGTTTCATGTTAATAAACTCCACCTTGTTCAGCTTTGTGTTAGATCCTTGGGGATTACGTCAGATGAGGAAATGTGTTTATCACATAGGGATTATTGTTAAAGTCAATAAGCTTGGCTGCCTGGAATTATTACAGCAAGCTGAGACTGTTTCCACTTCATAGATAGTGTCTCCCAGGGAAGTTAGTGATGTTTCCTGTTGAAATTCCAAGGACAGGGAGAATTTGCCTGGTATAGCGCCCAATTTAGTCAAAATGTATCTCCTCTTCAAAGGACATCTAAGCCCGTTTATATTCCAATTTCAATTGGCAATTAAAGATTACCTGAATGTGAAACACACTAATGCACACCCTAATATTTCCATAAATGAAGAATAAAAAATAATGTACGGTAATAAAGACAAACCTTCTTTTCAAAAGCCAACCCCCCTGAAAAACATAAAAAAAGGGGGGGAAAATCAAGGACATTTGGTTAAAGTAATAAACAGTAAAAGTAATAAAAACTTGAAAAAGAAAACAATAAAAATACCCATTAAAAGAGCAAGAAGCAAGAAATCACCTGAAAAAGGGGGAGAAAAGTTAAGCTAAGGAATCGAGCTAAGGAGAAGACTCATTACTAGCAGCATCTATATGTGTTCCTTGTAGTTTAGTCAAGATAAATTACAAGTTAGAGTTCTGACGTGTATTGTCCTAAGATACAGGACCTCAGAAACTGGTGCAAAATTAGAAACAGATGCCTAGCAGAGAGACAATGAGGTACAACTGAAGTTTTAATTATAATATTTCAGGCTATGCTGTTCCTTGCCTTTCTACCACACCCCAAAGCCTGCAAATTCATCATTTTAACTTACTGCTCTTCTTTATACAATTATTTAAGTATTCACACTGTAGGAATCTGAGAACAGTGAATTCTTAGCTCCTTGTTTAAATGTTAAGGAGAAATTAATATACAAACTATAGCCTTATGTTCCCCCTCACAAACATTTTTAAAAACATAGTTCAAAGATATAGTAATACCATCTTGGAAGGAAGTTGCCATGGTGGTAACTATTATTTTTGGTTTGTAACATGAAGTGTAGGAAGTTTGTATTGATTGAAGTCATATAATAGGATATGGTACTGTTAGTACTTTTGGGAAATCCAGATTGATAAATTAATATATAAAAATAGTGTAGTGGGCTTTATATGTTAGAGGAATTGGATACCAATTTCATGACTGCGTATTCCTCACGTTTTCTAGACAAATCCTTCCCCCTTTCTTCCATGGTTTTAAGACTAGAAAATACAGCTGTCTGTAGCTATACTGGTCTTTGCCACAGTTAATGCTAATAAGGATTATCAGCCTCTGTACCACTTGGGCTTAAAAAATTGGGCTTTAAAAAGAACCAAATTAGTAGCGTTCTTGGTTTTTAGTAATGTTGATATAGATTTAAACGACAGCTAGAATTAAGCCATGAGATGGAGCACAAGGTGGTGTGATTTGATGTGCAAGAAAGGAAAAGAGAAATGGAATCGGGCTGTGCATACTCCAAAAATGATTCTGATTTCAGTTCATGCAAGCAGAGGACCTCTGTTATTCACTAAAGCCTGGCTTTTTTCGGGCTTTGATACAAACTTGAAAAAAGAATGTCACTGCTATAATAGCCACATTAATGACTTTTTAAAAATATTTTTTAATCTTTTTTTCAGGCATACATGGAAGCATGTAATAATAGGGCTGCTTTAATGAGTAGCAGGGGGTCCTGTGCTTATGTGAAGCATTCCCTCCAAATCATTTTCAAAGTGGGTGGGTGCCTACTGGTTCAGATGACTATTCTCCAGTGTTCTGCTTTCCTGAGGGCCTCAGGAACCAAGTTTATTACACAATTACAGGTGGTCCTCATTTAACAACCACTGGTTCAGCAACCATTCAAGCTTATGACAGCTCTGAATGAGTGGTAAGACTGGTCCTCAAAGTTCCAGCCGTCACAGCACTCCCCAGTCACATGATCATGTTTCAGGCACTTGGCCTGCACTTCCAACCATCACAGTGTCCTGTGATCACGTAATCGTCATTTGTGACCTTCCCTGCCGGCTTCTGACAAGCAAAGTCAGTGGGGAAGCCGGCAGGAAGTTAAAAGTCATGATCATGTGAGGTTTTCACTTAACAACTCACAGGGTCTTCACTTAATGACAGCAACCAAGACTGCTGGAACTGCCATCACTAAGCAGTGCAGTCACATGGTTTTTTGACTTATGACCGCATCGCTTAACAACAGAGTTTCCAGTCCCAGTTAGTATTCTTAAGCGAGGACTACTTGTATCTTCTAGAGCTTGACAATAAATCTAAACAAATACATCTGTTTCTGCAGAAGCAGCATGTGAAAAGGGAATATTCCATTTGTGACTGTTAATCATCAAGGTGGAAAGGAAATAACCTAAAAGTTTTCATAATTTAGCAAATCTGATTTTCTCCTGCGTTGTTCACTGTGGTGATACAAAAAAAGTGTGAGAAGAAGGCTGTATGTTATTGCAGCTGGTTCACATGTTATTAGCTAAATGAAAAGCTGTGTAGCTTTCGGATAGTTGGGTTATTACATTTTAACTTTTATTGTTACTACACTTTCAAAGTCTTATTTTAAAATCTATTGATATTTAAATGACTACTTGGATTCTAAGATCTGTAATATCCATTTATTTTGGTAAATGGGCATAGAAAATAACACAAAACTTTCATTGTGCAGAATAAAACAGTCACTGTGTTAAAATATGAATTCTCTACCACCCATCTCATCTTCCAAGCACTTCCAAGGCGCTTCACACCCAAAGGACCTTTCCCCTGTTTGTCCTCCATTCCATCCAACCCTAAATGCAGCCAGAGAAATAAAACAGCTGAACCCTTCACAGAAAGGAGCTGTTCCTCCAATTGAAGAATTAAAATCTGAGGAGCCATCTCGCCCCTGTTATATCAGCCCGCCCCACTCAGGCCAGCAGAAGGGGCATGTTGCAGACCCCACCAGTCGAGGAATTTCGACTAGTGGGATCTAGGAAGAGGGCCTTTTGTGCCGTGGCCCCCACTCTGTGGAACAACTTACCACCCGAGGTGCAGTGTGTCCCCACTCTCATGGCCTTCAGGAAGAGCATGAAATCTTGACTATGCCAGATGGCCTGGGGGCAGGATGGGGGCTCGCACCAGTGGAAATCCCTTGTGAGGTAATTGATTCTACCCTCCCCCCGTCATCTTGAATGTTTTTAGTCTTTTTATGTATAAGGTTTTTTAAAATATAGTCTGACTTTTAATTAATTCATGTGGGTATTTATTTTTTTAATTGTTTTCGGGGGGTCTTCTAACTGTGAGATGCCCAGAGTGACCCTCTGGGGGAGATAGGCGACATACAAATTGAATGGATGAATGAATGAATGAATGAATGAATGAATGAATGAATGAATGAATGAATGAA